GATGTTAATAAAAGGGACAAGATTAATTAAGTCAGATGACCCTTAAGTGTAGGATCGTTTTTCATTACATAGTACACATCAAAGCAAATGTCTCATCATTTTTAGTCAAGAGTCAGTTTATGTGCTCCAAGATGACTAATTTGTACTTACGATCCTAAAAAAAAAACAGACTGTCCACTTCCCTGACCATCAGCATATAGAGGGTACACAGTTACCAAGTAACACTTGAATGGCTTTATATCACCTAATGAAAGGAATTTAAAATGTGTTGTTTCACAGACAAATTCCTTCACCATCCTTCTCATTTACTTCAGATACAGGATTCTGGGTTTTGGCTCTTGTATTCTATGCACTTGTTATGTAATGCAGCCGACTTTTTTTTTTTTTTAGGCCTCATTGATATACTGCTCCAAAATATTAACTGAAGGAACAATACAATGGTTTATATTCAAATGTTAAATTTAATAAACAGAGTACACAGAAGTCTGGTTTTTCCTGATTTATTTTAAATAAAAAGCCTTCATCTCTCTGCAGCGCTGAACCTCAAAATTATACATTTGATCTACTGATCATAATCTGAAAAGAACTGCAAAGCTGGCCAAGTTTCATTGTTTGAACTAAAAGAGGGATCAGAGAATTAGATTTTGAAGGAACTTGGCCTTTTCACTACTTTAATGGTTTGCAAGAACGAGATGACTAAAAACAAAATGCAGATAAAGCCTTTGCTGTTACATAATACAAATGTCAAAATGCAAAATTAGATACAATTTTGTAACTGTCAAAAATATACAGATATTTCCATGCTCATGATGAACTAAGAAAAACCCCTAGCATTACCTCAGATTCCTGTCCTAGAATAAAATTCTAGTCAGCATGAGGATGTTCCTCACTTTGAGAATACTTACTAGGTTTTTAGAGTATTCTACAAGGTATTTGTATATTTATGAGCTGAATACCTTTTAAGTATGTCCCTTGAACATTTCCTGGTTCATTCTGCCATTCGATGATGCAGTCTGAGCTGCTGGACACCAGACACCATTCGATCACATATTTAAGAACGTAACTGTTAGGAGCAGTCCACCCTACCCACAGCTTGCCATCTTTAGGTAGTGTTCTAACATTCTTGACAGGAGCTGTGATGGAAGAAAACAGAAAAGTGATAAATATTGACAGTTCTTCCACTAGATATTCACAATAATAGCCATTTTGTCAAATGTGGATACTTTTGGGTTATTGTAATGGTGACAATCTAATAGAACCTAAGTAAATGTAAAAGCTATTTTCTGTAATTTGGAAGCTTATATCCGAATTTTTGTATCAGATCCAAAATAAGTGGTATTAGGTTGGATATTAGACTCAGCTTTTCTGTTCTCAAACACAATAAACTGCATTATTGCACAGTAAAGAGATACTATGTTTCTTTCAAAAGAAACAGTCTGTTTCAGAGAGAAATCAAACCTTGATACGCTTCAAAATTCCCATTCTAATCCTCACCCTCATGTACCTTACCAAGTACTTCCAGCTCCAATGCTACTGTTTGAAACACACCCTTAATTAGTTCATGTAATAGTTTTAGAACCTGTGGCCCTCCCTTCATGCTTATGCTAAAAGCAGCATCTGTCCAGGTACTTATTTTTTGCTTCCTATCCTGGTAGTGTTTGGACTGTCTAAGAGGAGGCTTGAAGTAAGGAGAAGCCAGCCTAGTACTTATTAGTACTGCACAATGAAAAGAACATAAAAAAAAGGAACATGAGAAGTAGGGAAACAGTGGAAGCAGATAACAAAGCAACCAGGCAAAATACTGAAAACATGGGAGAGTGAGACTGGGAGAAGAGAACAAATGGGCAGGGGGAGATCAGAAAGCAGAAGGAAGAAGAGCAATAGTGAGATGGTATACACATATGAACTAAAGGACGCTTGCTTCCCCAATCCTTTCTTTTTAAAAAAAAACATGCAAAACCAAAAATGCCTGCTATGCTAAGAAAAGAAACAATAGGGAATACAGTGCACAGTAGGTCAAAAAGAAAAGCAAAACAGCACACATAGCTTCAAATTAACCTGTGAGTACACAAATCTTCCCTAGTATACAAAGAGTACCATAATTATAAGGCATAAATACTTTAATAAAATGTTCACATAAAAGGTATCATTTTACAACACTGCAGATTTCTTACAACAAACGCCATACAGTTGCATTTGAAAGAGACATTACTGGGACACTAACCTTTTGAATTACTTGCTGGGATAAGTAAAACTGATGGAGGGGATGCCCCAACACTGTTCCGGGCAATCACAGTCACTTCGTAAGTTCCATTTGGCAGCTTTAATGTAAGGCTGGTGGTATTAACATTGTATTTCTCTGGTGGACTGGAGAGAGATGATTTAGCTCTGACAGTTACTTCATACTGCAAGATTACTCCATTAGCTTCAAACGGCTCCAGTACCTGTTGGAAACACATCTTTGATTATACTGATACTGAACAAATGTGACTTAATGTTTACTGTCTTTGATACATAATTTAAAAATATGGGAGAAAGAGAAGTTAAGTAGACTAAATAGCTGCATATTTAAGGAAAGCAGAAATAACCTATGTTCATTTCTGTAAAGCAGTGACTTCCAGAACTATTTCTGGTTTAAATCCTTTTTCTTGGCTCACAATTCTACCCAGTAGTTTAATAAAAACTATTGTGTAAAGATTGCAGAATGTGTGTTGGTAAAACCTGCATTTTATGTGGCTTTACAACACAATGACATAAAAGGAATTTAACATATTCAGTTGTGTTGAACCTGAATGCAAACCAGCTCAAGTAGGTTACTTTTATTACACTGAGAAAAATTGTTTGTGTTACAACAAGAGAAAATACTATGTTTTTGTGTAACAGTATCAGTTTTCAGTTAACTTAAAATCATTGAAACCGTGAAGTAGCACCAGTTTTCCAATTTTAAGCTAAATAATTTCAGAAGTGGCATGAGTTACATCAGAAAATGATGCCGTATCAATATCCATGTAAATTCACACAGGTTATGGCGTAACAGGGAAAAAGTTATAGTAAAAAGACAGCTAAATCAAACGTGACACAAAGTCTGCAGACCAAAATAAAGTAGGAAACGGGAACTGACCATACTTGCATTCACTTTCTCAGCTTTGGACTAATCAGCCAACTAGACACAGCAGCCCACTGCATGCAAACATACAGTACTATATTTAATAAATTTGGCCTCTATAATGTCTGTAGGCTTAATGGATTTTGCGGCTGGAGTATCCTTGCACTATCCCAGCTATCTACTGAAGTTTGTTGAGGTTAATTTTGCCACTTAAAAACTCATGTTTTTAAAAGGACGCTCAATTCCCGTAGTTTATCATGCTGCTTTACCTTCCACATCAGATGCACAGTCCAGGAAGCTGGTGAGTGAGATATATCAATGATCCTCCATATGGCTGGTCCTTTAGATGGTTCTGATGAAAGAAACAATGCTTAATAGTAGAAACATTTTTCTTTTATCTCTTTGAATTGATCCTTTGACTATCATTACATGCTTACTTTTATTTTTTTTTTAATAAAAGTATATATAAAAAGTGTTTCCTTAGTTCCTCAGATAATGCTTGGTATACTAAATGGAATACCTGTATGGAAAGATTTCCTGAGGGGATGAGCAAAACACCAGTTCTGTCTTAAGTATACAGTATCAAAGTAACTGAGAGTCACCATGCTGAGCTGCAACAACAGGCTGAAAATGACAGTGCTGAGTGAGGCACAACCTGTCCAGAGACACAGCCCTGCATATCTGTACCCTGCAAACCTTGCTATGGTCTGTAGCTGCAACACTCTCCCTACCCCTCAGTATCAAGTCACCTAAAAAAGGAAAGTGCAGAAAAGTTAACAAGATGGCAGATTTCTCCTGCCAGAATTCCCTAAGTTTCCTATATCCTTTACGCTAAAAAGAGTAATAAAACCGAAATACTTTTTTACAATTACTTTTACAATACAACACTTTTCTGGCACCAGCACTAGTTTCTGGCATCACTGCTACTAACTGTAGTTTTCACTACAAATTTCATTTCAAAGTAGAATTAATTGATCTATTAGAGTGCATAAAGCAATAAAAAGTGGCCAATCCTTTGTGAAGCCCTTAGCCCTAATAGAAAAAATGATCTTATAATGCATTTATGTTTATAAACTTGCTAGACTGTATTTTCTCTGGGAGTTCTTTCAGTACTTTTTTATATTAATCACTGTGAGGTTTTGGCTGCTTTATCTTCAAAAAACAGTATCAGATCTACATTGTACATGTGAAGCTTTACATCAGGAGGAAAGGAAAACTGGGAATTGAAGCAAAGGGAGCTCTTAACAGTGCTATTTGAGTACAGAATCACAGAAAGGTAGAGGCTAAATAGGACCTCTGAAGATCATCCAGTCCAACCCCCCTGCCAGAGCAGGATCACCTAGACCAGGTCACAAAGGAACACGTCCAGGAGGGTTTTGAATGTCTCCAGAGAAGGAGACTCCACAACATCTCTGGGCAGCCTGGTCCAGCGCTTTGTAACCCTCGCAGGAAAGAAGTTTTTCCTCTATGTTTAAGCTGAACCTCCTGTAAGTGTATCTAGGCATTTGCAAGAGGTGACCACACCTGTGAAGTTGTTTGTAAGCAAACTCAGAACAGAAAATTATGTCACTGTTAACTTATTCCTACAATAGCAAAAAATGCCAATAGATTAGCAAGAAATCCAGAAAAAGTGTGACTATCCTGTTATCCTTAGGAAGCATAGCTACAGGAATTTGTTTAAATGCTGTTCTACCAGCAGAAAAACAGACTATGTTTACATTTTCAGTGTGTCACAACTAATGGCACAGGTATTCCTCAAATGAGTTTGTTTTACTTTTAGCAAGAAGCAAAGCACTCAAGTAGAATGTTCTGATACCAACACAGATTTGGACTGAAGAAGATATCGTTAACACCTCTCAATGATCTCTTAAAGACACTAAAAGTCAACAATTCAGAGGAATGACAAAAGGAAAAGAGACCACAGAAAGGTAAGACACACATCAAAGCCTCAGGCTTTTATTTAAAAACAAATTAAAGGGCCAAATGCAGAGATCTAGGTTGTGTTTGTTTATACACTGGATGTATTTTTGTTTTGTTAATGGAAAATGTAAGAATCCACTATTGGAGAAAAGGAGTTTTCATATTGTAACAAAGAGATTGGTGTGATTTTAGTGTCAGTGTTCTGGTAATTACTGCTCGGTTATTGTTGTGCAACTTTATTTTGTACAAATTTGCAATTGCTGCAACAATTGCTAAGTCATGAAATGCTGCAAAACTAAACAGTCTAACAATTAAAAAAAATCAGTAACAGAAAATGCTAAACATACTCAACTAATGGTTTTGGCACAACTCAGTGTGGCAGAAGACAGTTTCTGCAATTAACGACAAACTTGCAGGAGAGCCTCTCTAATAGGGAGGTACTGCAATGAGTTCCATGAGCTGTGAAGTACGTAAATTCATAACACAGTGAACTGCTGTTTCTTTAATGACACAGTACAGTTCAAGCAATGTATGTGTTTACAAGCAACTGAAAGCAATCAATGAAGTTAAAAAACATGCTGTGCAATACTGTGGACAGATATTAGCAGAAGACATTGCGTGCAGTAGCAGTCTCAGTGACACTGTCCTGGAGAAGTATAAATGAGGGTGACACAGCACACCGGCAGAAAATAAGGTTCCATGGGAACAGACAATATCATCACAGCTGACTGGAGTATCACAAGGAGTTGATAAGTCAGCCAAGTTGATGAGACGGTGCTGGTTGTAACATGAACAAATTTGGTGCATGGCAACTATTCTGCCATGCTGAGGATATGGTCCACAAAGCAGTAAAGGCTGATGCTTGACTGAGGTTCTTAAGTACTTTTTTTTTCTGGGCTGTGAACTTAAAGCTTTAACTTAATGGCTTGCTATAGTTTGTGCATCTTAAATAGTAATCAGTTCGTAATTTAAAGTTTCATATATCCTGCTTGCAAAGTCCTTTTGTGTTAGACTAAACATGATCCAAATACTGCCCCCAAAGAGCTGATACTGTTAAGTTTGCCCCATTAAATCATGATAGCAGCAATTCAGTGTTCAACCCTACTGCAAAGCAACAGCATACTGCAAGTCCAGATCTACAAGATGACAACTCCAATGATTACGTCATCAGGAGGGAAATTGTAAGGAAAGTTATTTTTGTGATTAAATATAGCCAAAATAAAACCATTTCCCATATAGACTTAATCTTGCTTAATGTCAGTGGTTTATATATGGCATTCTCTTTCTTACATCTCCCACAGTGAAAACTCTATCAGTGATTCATAGCAAGACTCTCAATTACTGTACGTAGAATATTGCAAAAAAGTGGGTACAAGACAGTGCAGAGGCGGTTGTAAGTAATTCTGAGAAACAAGGAAGTGTTGTAGATGCAGAATACCTTGGGAAAAGGTAAGAGTAAACTGTAGTGTTTTATTTAGATGCTTCTGTGCATAAAAGGCTACACTTCCCATGTGCACTTTCTTTCATATCATTACTTCCGTAAGTTTGTGAAGAAGTTTATGTGCCATACATGATTTAAGATCTTCTATTTCATACTTACTGATGCTTTTTCACCTATGACTTTATCTAATGTCCTCCTAAACACAGTTGTTCATAAACCAAGGCAGTCTGTTTACAAAAAAATCCCCAAAAACTTTCATACAAGTAGAACAGCTTCTGTTATAGAGGATAACCTTCAGAACAAAAACAAAAACCAAAAACCCAACCCAAGCATAAAGCCAGCATCTCTTCTGAAAAGACTCTGAGAATGTAACTTCCTGTGAAGAAAGCTTTTCTCCTTACCTCCACAGCTTTAGCTATTTTCAGTAAGCACCTCTAGACTAGCCTCATAGGAAGCTATTCTCACGCGCCTTGGAATGTCTGGGTGTCCTGGCTTAGTGGGACAGAGTTTCAGAGTCAGTTTTCTGTTCAGGAAAACTGCAGTTTTGTAAGACTAAAACACTGTTTCATGGGAACAAAGTCAATAAAAACTTTATTATAGGTTTCAGCAAATACTGGTATGCAGGTTGCCGTAGTGCTCAAGGTCTTCAGGCAGTCTTGAGATAAAGTTGCAGAGGCTGGGGTAAAGGAAACCTAAAGGAGTCAATCCCAAGGTGACCCCAGGCTGACCACTTAATACTATTCATACCATCAATGTCACATTCACTATAAATCGGGGAGTTTGCTAGGGATGGTCCTTCTTCCTTCTGCTCTGCCTCTTCTCCCCTCCTGCTCCCTCTTCCGTGGCTGCCATCTTGAGAGGGACTTGTTTACCGGCCTAACCATGAGGCTTACTCCTCCTCAATATTGGCTGAGTATAACTCTGTTTATTTTATTATAACTTACTTATATTAGTTTTTATTATTATTGTTATTTTATTAAATATATTGCTATTTCAACCCATGAATCTCCTTTCCTTTTCCTAACCCTCCTCCCCAGGTGGAGAGGAGGCTTCAGGTGATAGAGCAACTGTATAAGCAACAACACTGGATCAAGTCAGTACTGAAAGTAACTCAGAAGAGCCTGGTTGCTTAAGTGATCAAACAACTCAAGTGAGGATACACAATTACAGCTGGCTGCTGTTGAACTGCTGAGCACTCACATTTTGAAAGTCTGTGACCTACTTTCATATACTACTTACTATCTTCAGTGGTGACCCCAGTTTTCTCTTCACTCCAGTCACTCCAGTAGCCTGCTCCGTCTTCCTTCATGCAACGAATTGAAAAAACATATTCTGTATAGGGTCTGAGCCCTTGAACACTGAATGAAGTTCTTGGTGATGCTGTATCTTCAGGAGGAACCTGTAAACAGAAGGAAGATTTTAGAGGCACTGGTCAAAAACTGTAAACCTGAGTTCTATCCTATTACAGCTCCTGTCCAAGAGGGCTCCCCACTGCATACACACCCAACAGCAACAACAGTTTTTCTTCCCTCTTATTTCCAAAAGCTTCAATTCTCAACCATGGTTTGGTAAGGCATCAGTCAGTTGTGTGCATTTAGCACGTGTAATACAACAGATACACTAGAATAGGTAAGCAGCTACCTCAGGACAGTCTCTCATATTCTGTTTTCTTTTTAACTAATTTATGTCTACCTCTCCTTCCTTCCCTTATAATTCCTCTACTTACTGATCTGTAATATCCCACTTCATGTTTCAGAACTTTGCTAGGTTATCTGCTTGATTATTGATTGCAAAATATCTGTGCTAGAAGCCTTGTATAAAGCTAGAGAATCCAGGATCACTGCTTCTACTGATACAGAACAATGTTTCTTAACTGACACTGGAAGTAGTTTGGAGTAGTTTATACTTTTACTCATTAATAAATTTATTTCCATAAGCTCTTTCCTTTTTGTCTTAGATCAGCAACTGAATGCCAGAAAATATTCTTACTGCCTAGGTACAGAAACAGATGTGTGATGTAGATAATAGACATATGTATGCACACACGCTGACTCCATCACATGTTATTCCACTTGCAATTAAAGGCTTTTTACAGTGAGCAAATCTGCAAGAGGAATGACTGCAGATTAAAACACACATGCAGAACACAGGAAGTTAATGCTGAGTGCAAAGAACTGACAAAATATTAATAGGTTAGTCTTTTAGCTGAAGTGGTCGAATTTTACCATAGCTAAGCAATCTCAGTTCCTCTAGAAGTTACTATTTCAATGGCTTTGTGCACATGTTAAGAGAGGCAAGGGAAGTTAAAAGGACTTAAGAGGACATTTCAATAGATCCTGGAGTTGCAGAATAAGCTGTATGGGACAGTGCTTTATAAAATACCAATAGAGGTGAGTTTAATAATTGATCTATGCCTCTAAAGCTTAAAAGTTTCCTCCAAAGGAATCCGCTGCATTAGTCACAAGCAGCTGCATCATGCTACCTGCTTCAAACACCATATTTTGTTAAGTTAGAAGCAGTCTTCCTTCCAACAAGTCATGAAATTCAGAATACTTTTGGGCCTATGTACTGAAACAAAAGATGGGAAGATCTTGACGAAGAGTGTGTTTCTGGAATTCTGCTGCTCTGAGAGAAGGCTTAAAGAAAGACAAAACTGAAACTATTGAAAATATATCCACAGTCCGATGTAGAAGAAAAAACTCCACAATTCTTGGTGACATGAAATACATGACAACCATGCTGTATAGGTACAGCAAGTTCAAAAAAGCATCCCAGCCACTGTACAGCGTTTGTCCACACTTTAAAATGACATTTAGATCAGTAGTTCGCATATGCATGGGAAGATGAAATTCCAATTACTCTAGATGTTGCATGTACAGAATAAAAACTCAAAATAAGCATTCTGTAACATGATGGGGAAGACAGCAGAGAAGTCCACAAAGACAATCTGTACTCCAGATTGTGCCAAAAAACTCTAGATCACACCTTTCATGAACAGGCCAGAAAAAAATACCTTGGGAGACCACATAAGCCTGAAGGATACTAAAGTGAATCCTCTGAACTGCAGTGAGGGAACTTCTTCTGCAGTTTGACAAATGGCTGGGTAACAGCAGAAAAGTGACAAGGGACATTACTGGTATTACCTGCATCCAGTTTGTGTCACCAATAATCCTATAGCGAATATTGAATTTCAGCTTCATCACAGCTGCTGAAATCCGATTCTCCCAGGAGAGCTTCAGAACAGTAGGCAGTATTCCTGAGTTGACTGATAAGTTGTGTGGAGACAGAGGTTTAACTAGAAGAGAAGGAGTCAGTCAACTCTACAGCTGTATTTTATCAATGCCTCTAGCAGTTGCTACACTAAGCTGTAACATCACCATTAAAGCCTTTCACATTAAAGCTCAAATGGCTGCTACTTCACACTAGCTTCTATAGCAGACTACTTAACAAGAGCTTGCTATCTGAACTGTGATAAAATCTCTCACTTTCTCTACCTTTGTCCAGCACAGTTCAAGTCTGTCAACAATATGTTGACAGTGTTGACTTTTATAGTGAAGAAACATTTATATATCAACTCAGCAATATGCACAGAAGCAGCAGTTATGTACTACTAATGCTTGATTACGAGGCATATAGTTACCGATCTCAATGGGATCAAGAACAAGAGGATCAGATTCAGCCTTTCCAAGAGCATTTTCTGCTTCTACCCAGACCTCCAGGTTAACAAAGAACTGTACGTCAAGAATAGTACAAGAATTATTTACATCTTCTGGTATGCAGTCGGGAAAGTTCTCTTGTGGCCTAAATAAAAAAAACAAACACCAAGGTATAGAGCAATAAGTTTGTGTTCCTTTAGAGAATATTTTTAGATCAGAGTGATCAGTATAGCTTGTATCCCCTCTGCCCATATCTTTGTAAGCAGCAGGGGTGGGAAGAAGAGGTGAAGAGATTAGAATGACTTGTTCAGCCACAAATGCATGACTGCATTAGAATAAAAGCTAGAATAAAATCTCTCGACTTCAAGTCACATATCTTCAAAAACAAGCTATGGTATTGTAATTATAAAGTTGTATATAAACATGACTTAAGTTTCAAAATTAAAGATCAAGAATTGGTACATTTTACTGAATGTATGGCTCGTAACTAGAAGCACATTCATGCATTAAAAGATACAGGCAGTATTATTTGCATACCCTTCAGTAAGTGTTACAGCTGCAACACATTTCTGTTCACCATCTTCTGCTACACTAACAGCAGATAGGGGCATCAGCAGATCTGCAAAGCATTAAGGTTTTCTATCTATACTTTCTACTACACTTGATCTACTTTGTTCTACTACCAAAACACTTTAGAAGAATGAGGCTGGTGGAAAGCTGTATGCAGTCATTCCTGTTTCCAGAGCACAGCAACAATCCTGTTCACTTCATTCTGAACTAAAAGAGACCACTTGAAGAGTTTAATAAAAATACTTAAGTTACTTGCTTTCACAGGAGAAATGCTTTTGCTGAAGCTTTCATGTTACGAATAATTGTGGACAAACACAATTGAGTTCCTAGGAAGTACAGAGTAGGTAATATCTCTGCAAAATCCAGTCACTATATATTGGTTTCTTCACTTACAATCATAGAATGGCTTGGGTTGGAAGGGACCTTTAAAGGTCATCTAGTCTGACTCTCCTGCAATCAACGAGGACATCTTCTGCTTGTTCAGAATAGGACAGTTACCACAGAAAAACAAAATATATTATTTGGGTCCAGCCACCTAATGATCAGATGTATCTTGCTCAAGTCACACTAATTATGTGTTTGAAGAACAGAAAAATATGAGATAGCTGTTACTCCATAAGTGCAGCAACGAAATTTCAAGTCTGACTTACAATTACTTCAAATGTAAACTTTTTAAACTATTCCCTTTCCCCCAAAAGAGACAGCAATGCTTCAGAAAACTGGATTTAAGTTAAGAACTCTTCAAAAGCATCATGGAATTTCAAGGAAGTTTAGTTTAGCCTCCAAATATTCTTCAAAAATATTAAGATGTCCTATAGAGGGCTACTTACCATCTGTACTTCAACCTGAAGTGAGTGGCAAGGAATGTATGCCTTCCAGGGTTCCAGGTACAAGTCATAGGATATGAGAGTTTTGACTCCTGACGCACAATGCAACTTAAGTTCTTAGGCTTCTCTGGAGGCACTGCACAGAAAGTTCGCAATAATTCATCTATACACACATTTAAATCCAGTAAGAATCATTCTAAGTGTCAATTTCAATGAACATCAAAATCACTTATAGTCAGATTTATTTCTAAAGGGGGCAGCTGAACTACTTTTTTTTTCTTCTTAAATTCAAATCATAGCATACAAAGAGTTTGTTTCTAACTCCTAAATTGATACTGTTTACAATAGTATAATGTACTTGAAGAATCTTATTTCTTTTCAAGCAGAATGCTTGAACATAACTACTTTATGAATCTTATAGTTTTGTTCTTGAATAGTTGCATTCAACTCAAACCTGTTGTTACTCACTGTCTACAGAATTTTTCTTTAACTGAGAGTTTGTAAATACATTAATTTTAAATACAAGTGCATCTCAAGATTCATATGTGAATTACAGCTGTTGAATGTTATCAGTACTGTCATTCAGTTTATCATCTTAGGATATTGTATCTGTCCTCACCTTTCCATATATTTTGCCTGTCACATCTGTTTCGGTATGATATTTATTCCTCAGAAGTTGAAACAGAAAACACAGTTTCTGTGAAAGCATTTTGTAACTCATGCTAGAACCACTTTAGTTTTAATTGTGAAGTCAAGCCAGCATTTTGTACGGACCATGCAAAAACTGCAATACCACTTGCCAACACTAGGGGAAAACTTAATCAATCAGCCATTCATACTCTTAAGGACACTTGAACACATTATAAAAACTCACCACCAACTAATTAAGAAGTAGCATATTAAATTATTTATGTTACTTTCTCAAGACCTCAGTCTTGTCTCAAAGGGCACTTGCTCAGAACTATGCAAGTGCTATCATGCTTTAACAAGGGAAATGTACAATCAGCCAAAGTATTTTCCTATGTATAAAAGTAGAGTAATTCTAGTAAGTTCCATCCTTAAGGCAGTTCATGTTTGCTGTAGTGATACAGAACAGACTAAATACTTCTCATTACACTAATGAAGAAAATATTAGTTTCATAGCATTATTATGAGAGCAGGACATAAAACGTTATTGAATTTCCCTGAACACTAAAACTGAAGCAAAAAAAAAAAAGTTAATTTGTTTCCTAGGATCCATTTCAGTTAAATTTACATCTTCTTTCTGTAATTTAAACCTTCCCGCTTTAACATTTTTCTGTTTCTTCTGTTGTTCTGTTTCTTCCTATTGCAACACTGAAATTCTCCTATTTTATTTTTAGAAAACTTTATTCTGTGCATATTTACCAGCTTTGATGGCATGTAATTTTACAGTGTTTTTACATAATAATTCAGGAACTGAGGGAACCAAAATAAGCACCTCAAAATGTGCACACTTTCCATTGTTTGTTTCTCAGAAGCTATTTTCTTAAGACCAGAATAAAAGGTATAACAAATGGTACTTACAGCCTATTGCAACTGAAATTCCATAAATGTTCTGCTCAATCTGTCCATCTGCTAAAATGTTGCATGTCAGAGGAGTAGCCAGTGAAGAAGTGTCATTAAACGTGACACTGGAAACTGTTCTGTTTATTTCACGATACTGCTCTTTAGGTACCACTCTATTTTTAATTTTCCAGATAATCTGATTAGCATAGATATTGCCAAAGTCAAGACAACTCTCATTCAAAATGCAGAAAGCTGTGAAATTGGAACCAAGGGCCAATACAGGAGACTCTGGGATGATATGACCACATGACTGTACAAGTCCACCTACAACTAAAAAAAGAAAGAACAGCATTTTTACTAAAAATAAGATGATCAAAATATTGCCTTGAATCAACAGCCATACTAAACATCTTTGGGATGATCATCTGCTACACAATAGAAGCAGCCCATGGTTTTAACTTGATCAGAGAGCCTACTACAATAATTCACTGGTGGCTTACTGCTTTAACAGCATGTAGTCTGATCATGACATGCTTTTATTTAGATACCTTTTGGCACATATGAAATTAAATTTCAGTTTGCTATACTGACTAGCTCCAGTGATGTCAGTGGAACTAAAGCAATCTTTCACTGGCCAAAGCCACTCTTCATTATCTGTGTACACAGCTGGGCAATGAATAGAAGCAGAAGTTAAATTAATTTAACATGCATTATTTTACCATAATATTAAGAGCATAATAATATAGGTCTCTCTATCCTAATACACCTTGCTTTCTGCCCCTGCCCCACACATATCTAGAAAAAAAAACAAGTATGTGCTTCAAACATCTAATTAAAGGAATTCTACAAGTCTCTTGTGTTTGAGACACAGAAGTCTTACCTTCAACAGAACAAATATTGAAGAGCAGATATAAGCCATGGGCCACCCAGTTCCACACAAAAAACATGCTGCACAGAATTCCTGTAACAGAGAAATATTTTTTTAAAAATTTAAACTATTACTCTTCACTTTAGATCACTGTCAAATTCAGATTTGTATTTGCTAACAATTTCTCAGGTATGCAATTTTCTTCCCTGAAGAAGATAGTATCTTCTCACTTTAGAGAAAGAATGGGCATATTCTTGCCATTTTACTCACCACTGTAACAAAATCCAATGTCTGCTTAAAGGTAGCTGGCAGTTTAAAGCCTCCTTAGTTACAATTTAAGAAATGCATCAGCTTAATGTTTTCAGGTCACGTATGGAACAAACTTCACTGATACTTCTGCAGAAGTTTCATTTAGAGGTTTTAAAGCAGAACCCTATGAATTTGATGATGGTTACCATACTTACCTGGCTTTCAAAGGCACTGATATAAACACTTCACACATGATTCAGAACTTACCACAAAACCAAGTGTCTTACTCACAAGAGTGACTTAAAATACATTTAAGAACTACAGAGCACAATGATGCCATATCAAGAACTGTTGTCTGCCATAGAAACATTAATTAATTCTTGAAAACCTTAAGGGAGCTTATAATGCCTTAAAAACTGGAAAGTTTTTCTTAACATCTTATGTTCTTTATTTCTGTATTACAGCAGAGCTCATTTGTTCTTCATTCTAACAATTCTACAAACAGTTCAGAGAAAATGAAGCATTCACCGAGTAGCTTTCACTATGGTTGTTTTGAAGCCATAAGGTCTCTTCTGTATTTCTCAACTTGCAGTTATAAAGCAGCCCTAAATTACAAAAAAACCAAGTGATCATTCTTACATACAAAGCACACAAGCTATAATATATTTATTTACATTTATGCATCTTTACAGGAATAGGTAGATTGGCATAGTCAAATCCAGTCTACAGCCCGATTACTAAAAGCAGACTTCAAACTGTTCTCATAGCTAGAAACTAAAAATGTCTAGGTTTACCAACACTTGATATAAGACTGCCTGTAGCAACCCTGCTTCTGAACTTTTATTTTCACTGACCTGACAAAACTTCTCTGGAAAATGGTGTTCTGAGCTTTACTCCTATAAAAGGCAACTCACTAAGAAGTTTAAAGGAATTCTACAGTACTCCTTAGAAAGAAAACTTTAAAAGCTACACTTACTATTATCAAAAGGAAAAGAAACTGCAATTTACAACAGGAAATAATCCTTTGTTTGAATTTAATGTAGTTTATAATAAAGATAGAAAAATGCAAGGCATTACATAGAAATCAATAAAACCAGACAAGATACTTAAGCACCGATGTATCAATACCAAGCTAGAACACTATTCCTTAGTCTTCAGTACATCTAAGCCATTTGTTTTTACAAATCAAGATAAACAGTACAGTGTAAAGAAAATATATTTTCACAATTATTAGAAACCAACAACGAAACAAAAACCAGTCTCAAAGCTTGACAGCAGAGTCTTTGTAGGGCTCACCAACATAGATGTGTTTCAGTGAAGACTAAATAGCCATGAGAATCACTCAGCAGAACCTTTATTTCTATACTTGTGAATTCATTACTCAGAATTTCTTAAGTAAAAATTTGATACTATAAATATTGGTGATTAGAAGACTTGACAATTATGTTAAAAAGCACTTATATTTGACACTTGTTTGTTTTTTTAACTAAGTAACAACACTTATTTATAATCAGACTATTTGCATGAAGTTGAGAAAAAACTATTTGCCTTTTTATATTACACTCAAGTAATCTCATTGACTTGGATATGAAAGAATTTATACAGTTTTAAATGCAATACATGTTTAGATATTTATTACAAGTGTACAGTAAGAGAATTAAACCAATTGATTTTTGCTTATTATAGATGTAAAGTCTTCCAGTACCTGAAATGTAATTTTTTATCCACGTGTGCCTTTCCACATTTTAAAAACCCGTTTAATTTCACAGATTTTAATTTATTTGGTGAATACAACCAAACTCAGAAAAGTATTGTCTTTTGATTTACATCTTCAGACATTGAGTAAAACCAGTACATAGGAATCTATTTAAGTGTCTTGACTTACTCTAACATTTGTCAGACATACTACTTGCTACCTAAAGCCTGTTGTGCTCCATTAAGGACAGACCTTAACAATTGTTATTTTAAGCAAGCTCCATTTAAAGCTATTTACCTTGAACAATTTGAGTTGCAGAAGATCTGAAGCTCCTGAGAACCCTGAGGCCAACTGCAAGCCAAGTGGAAAGATGCAGCAGCTCCAAAAAACTAATTGCCAAAAACTGCTGAAAACAGCAGATGCAGCTTCTACACTGAAGAGGAAAAAGTGAAGCTGATGTAAAAAGGCAAAAAGGATTTTGTTTTTTTTTAAAGAATGATCGACTGAAGTCCAGATCTCTACTACTTTGCACTTTGGAAAGTTTAGTATCTGTTTTGAGGGAGAAAATAAACCCTCCACTGTTTTTTGTACTTATTCCACTGTACTCAGCTCCTGAAAGGCAAGAGACCTAAGACTCATGCTCCATAATCCACAATGGAAAGTTAAGTAGAAAGAAAGCTCATCCACCTACAGCACAGGAAACAAGCAGTTGTGACTATAGTGTAAAAAATGACACTACTGTTGAGCATATACCTACTTTTAGGCTGTTCTGATATATTTTATTTTTTCCTCTGCTGATCGGTGCAGCTTGAAGAAGACTGAAGCTACACACCTCCAAACCCACAAAGGGACTACTGCAATCCCTTCTAATGTGTGCTATTTTTAAAAACAGTAGCCTCTCCAGCTTTTACAAGCCTGGTTCTTATTTGAAATTTAGTTCTAGGGGAAAAGAACCAGAGTTACACTAAGCAGTTCCATCTATTTTGCCTAGATGAAAGCTGTAGAAGAAAAAAATGGTGGGGCTTACAACTAACAAAGCAAGCAACCATACTTCAGGTTAGGGTGAGGAAAAGACTTCTGTGGAAACTGGTATTTTCTAAGCTGAGTATATATAAGCTATACCAAAACCTTAAAACATAGGACCATCACTCAAAAGAAATGCTGCTTAACACCAGTTGTTCACCTTTAACTGCTTTAAGTCAGACTAAGTTGCAAGTCTGAACAACAGAAAACTCAATAGTTTCAGCAATTATGAAGCACAGCCCAAAGTTTCCTGTTTTACAGACTGGTGCAGTGGAATTTAAGGTAAAAGTTCAACCTGATGCTGAACTAACTACTGAAGCAGCTAGTCAGTTCAGAGGGTCTTTTTTTAAAGCCAAATCAATGTTTTGTCTATACATTGTAGTTGTTGTGGACCACTAAATGAAATTTTTTCCTAGTCAAGCCTAGTTCGATAAAATGTCAAGTGAAGAGGAAAAGGAGACAAAGAAACTGATGTTAGAAGTTTGTCAGGTTACTTTCATAGTTAAGTCTGCCAAAGTGGCAATGGATCAAAGTCCATCAAAAGATACTGTCAATTTAGCACTGCTGCTGTGAGTCCATAACTCGCAGAACGTAAGTTATCTAAATGAGATAAAAAAAAAAAATCTGTGGAACTATTCTTCACATCCTTCTACCATTTTGAAAGGAAAGCACTGAGCCTTTATGCCTGAATCTTAAACCAATGCTTCAGTGTCCTATGAAAAGTCAGAAACTACCCTAAAGTCAAGCTTTATATGCATGAAGTAGCAGCAGCATTGTATTTTATGACTAACCTGTGAAGAACAGTTTTTCAAGAAGCATCAGGCATGCACGCACAAGCAATATCATTACTTATTCTAAGAAACAGAGAGAACTCTTACAAATTAATCTTATTTCATTAGTCATGAAAACAACCTCAAAATGAATACAGGCGTATGCCATATGATGACTTATCACCTCTCCATTTCAAAGAGGTGACAATTACTGTCCAAGTGACCCACGAATGACAATTTCAGTTTAAAAGACTACAGCCAAAAAAAGAGCATATTCTTGCCAGCAAAGCCAGCTTGCAAATCAGGAAGCACAGGTAACACCACGACCACCACAGGAAGGTGTTAGGTCTATTAAGGCTCATCATCACATGAATCATGAAAGCCCAAAGGCTGCTGGCAAATGGATTTCCCAAAATTCCTCAAAAAATTAAGAGCTAAGCTTACAGTGTCAAATGGTAGTCTCTAGCTAAGGACACACGCAACTCAGGCATACAGAGGAATCAGTACATCTGTGATACTTCACATAGCAGCTACTGCTTGAGGTTTTGTAACAAGCCAAGTAGTACTTAGAGCCCATCTAAGAGCTGCAACTAGCCTCAAAGAATTTTGATTACTCAAGCTGTAACTGCTTTCTAACTAGAAGTATTTAATCTGCAAGCTTCCTTCCTTTCTCCAAGCTTACTCTCTTCTTGGAAATACTTATGAGACCCAAAAAACCCCAACACCTCTAAGAAAACAATTTGAAAAACCTGATATAACGTTATATGCACAGCATATTCTGGGATTCACTTCAATATTTAAAGTATCTATACACAAATTATATCTTTATCTCTTTCACCAAATAGTCAGTTCTTCACATTACTCATCCCTTTGCCTCTAGAAGGAAGCTTCTCCCTGTCTCTGGGGTCTTAGCGTAGCACTCAGAATAAAAAACTCAATCAACGTTGCACAGATTAAAACTACTGAAATACCTCATTAAAGGCACCAAATACTTCCTTGCAAGAATTAAGTCCTTCTTCCTGTTACCTTATTAAACCACAGATCACTTTCTCTGAAATAACTCTGGTGTGGGTTTTTTTTGCATCTAGAAAGTAGTTTTTGTCTAAAAGCAAATAAAACTATAGAAAACAATGTCTTAGCATTACGTGTTTTCATCTTGAAGTCAAACTTTCAAGACTGACAGCCACCAATGCTGTTTCTCTAATTCAGAGAGTTTTCGCTACGATATGAATCATCCTAAAAAAATTTACCAAGAAGTTTATTTTTCTGTAATTGTGCTATTGCTAATCCTCCAGAGACGCAGCATGGGAGACAGTGGATCTCCATTCTGTGTACAGACTT